TATAGTTATTCTTTATAATTTTGCATCTAATTACAATATATATATATATTTTTTTTATATAAGACTATAAAATTATACTAACTATATTTACTATTATAACTATAATTATATTTATAGCTAATGATAGCAGTAATAAAAATAAAGCTCCTAATCATAATTATTTTATCATGCAATACAGTCACAAATATCAAACACTTTTCTCTCAGTGCATTATTAGCTGGATAACTTTATATCACCTTTTTATCATGATAATATTATTATATTTTTATTTCCGATTAACTGAATGTTTTTGTGAAAGTATAATATTGTAAAGTATAATATTGTAGTTCAACTATTAAAAAGCAAAGTAATCTCGAATATATTGTTGGTGATAAAACATATTAAAGTTCTCGTTTCCTAGAACGAGTGTCCTTTATTTCATAATATTCATCCTCTCATGAAAGTAGGCTGGTAATTCTTAATATCGGAAAATTATTATGCTTTATTCGCAACTTGTCTGAAACAATTTATCGCGTACCAAATAACGTCTTCTAACGATGGCGTTGCTTATCGTATGCCACTGTGGTAACATTTAACACGTCTCTAACTGAAGACAGTAACTGCCTACCGTATAATGAAATATTATTTGAGCATAGCGTAAAACTACCGCTTTCACCCCTTCCGCTGTCATCAAGCAGCTGTTATTAGAAACGAAATGCGGAGTTTGACAGGGAAAACTGAAGTTCAAAGCTGCGGCGAATTTCGCAGCATTGTTTCCGAAAAAGAAAGTCATTGACGTAAAAGATTTTAAGCCGTACGTCACTTCCCGTTATTTTATAATAAATTCTCTCAACACAAATGAAAACAGAAGCATCGTGATTTTTGAAAATTTTTCGGTATTGTCTATAATTTTTCCGTGACTGATAATATTCATGATATATTTAATGTTTGAATTATAAAATTATTTAAAAAGATATATCAAAAGAACTATTTTGCTGAAACGTGTAAAAATTTAGCTAAATATAAAAATCTGAAAATAATATTTTGATAATTTAATAAAATTATTTTTGAATCTGTATCTAAACTTTTAGATATTTCAGCAAAAAATTAAATTTCTGTTTTTTCTGTGCATACAAATTAATATTTTAAAATTAATATTAATTTTGTTAAATAATAACACTATGTTATAATCTGTTTCTGAATATCTAAATAGTTTTAGATTCTTACGTATTAGATTCTTACTTTTAATTACTAAAGAATATAAGAGTTCCATTATTCACAAATTTTGCGTGTAACATTTATGTAAATTTTATTTTAGCTGTAGCAGTAAAATTTAAACTTTATAAAAATAAGATATTAAAAATGCAATAATAATAATCATAATACAAAATATAATTATCGTAAGAAAATGTTTTCTTACTTTACGATTCTTGTTTATCTTAAGACGATCTTATCACACCTTTAAACATGACTTGCATCAAAATTGATATAAATACAGTACATACAAAATAACACTTTCGCCGTTTACTTTTTTATGAGTATTACATAGATCACTTGATATTACAGTGCTTTGTGCGCTTTCCAAATAATTTTCTGTTGCTCTAAGGCGAGAAAGTTTACGGTTGCATGATATTTCTAACAGTTAATGCGCTATTATACAATTCTTAATTTAAAAATCTTAATCGCCAAATTATTTAATTCCACAAATAAGATTAATCAATCGTAAATTAATTATTTGTCAGTTTTTTTGACATCATCGTTTTTTGAAATTGTCACGATGAATATGTCAAGAGCAATAAAACGCATAATCAATATTCCATCGTAAAAAACATCAGATATAAAACTTGAGCAACTTTCTCTAAACATTCGTATATTATTAATCGCGCTATCAGAAGATAGCAATTATAGAAAAAATATCTGTATCTTTTAATTCATTATGGTAACGCCGTTTAATTTCTTTCGACGATAAGTCATTTTCTAAACGAGATGAGTAAGTAGCTAGCCAAGCATAACATTTTACAATAACAAAAAGAGTGTTTTCGAAAGCGCGCTGAACCACGAGTTGAATCATGCGTGAAAATTCAAATATCCTTCGAGAAACAAGTAAAAGTATCTGGTCTTTCTCCGTCTAGCGTAATTTTACATTTCTCAAAATTATTTTAGATTATTCTTTATATATCTCTTTACAAGTATACTGAATCTAAGATTAATTGATTAGAAAAATATTTGAAAAGTATATTGAAAAGTATATTTTAACTTTAATTTATATGCATTAAAGAAAAGTCGCCCAAAATTTATGAGAAAAAATCCAGACTTTCTATCGATATATAGGTTACCGAAGATATTCTGTTCGTAGATTTGTAGAGTCACCTGCTTCACGCACGCGATAAAAAGATTGTTGTGATCAATTGCGAAGAAAAACTTTCTCAATACAATAGAGTGTCACATGAAAAGTACAAGATTCGAAACAGTAATCAGAAACAGAACAGCATGTTGTCCATCTGTTAACTCGATAGCAATAACATGGACATGGATGTCCTATATTTCTCGCACTTCCTTAAATTTTTTACCAGTTTAAATTTAATTCTTTTAGAAAAAAATTAAAAGACTTATTTAAAAATTTTTTCA